TTAGGATTTATTATAATAAATGCATCATTACACTTTTCACTAAATGAAAATAATGTTACAATTACTGATTTCTCAATTATTTATCATTTAAAGAGATAATGAAACTCTATTTTTATCCAGATATTTATTATAGGAACTGACTGTATTTATAAGTGACGAAATTATTGCTCTTAATCCTAATCTTAGCATTTATAATAAAGAACCTAGCTGGTTGCTTGAGTTATTCCCTTGAAATATTTTAATTATAATATTTACGTTTTTATATATAGTTTTACTATATTCTATATGTAGTATTTGTTTGTTTGTTTGTTTCGATGTCTAGGCGCAAAACATCCAAGTCATAAGCGCCCGATCAACTAAATAACATCATTTAACACTATTTAGATGGTTGGTACAATAAAAAAGAAAGAAAGAAAAAAAAAATAAAATAAAAAATAAATAAAATAAATAAAGATATGGATTGATAGAATAAAATAAATAAGGATAATAATAGACATTTATAGGTAATAAGATGTATAAAAAATGTATAAATAAATAAACTTTAAAAAATAGCAGTAGAATCAATAAATGAATTGAGATTAATAAACAAATGAATTTAAAATGAAATGAAATCAAGTGAAAAAATAAATAAATAAATAATAATAAGAAAAAACAGAATACAAATAAATAGACAAAAAAATTAATAAATAAAAAGGAAGCCTGTCAAATGTGTTTTTTAAGTCTTTCACTATTCAGGAACTTGATGACTTTGGTAACGATTTCTTCTTGGTTTCCCAGGGATGCTGATATATTCTGGGGTATTTCAAAATCTTTTTTAAAAAAAAAGGGCATTCTTCCAAAATATGTTTTATAGTTAGTGATTGGTTACACTTTTCATCGGGGGATAGAATCTTTTGTTATGAAGTAGAGGTGAGTCAGTCCAGTATGTCCGATCCTCGTTCGCGTGAGGACGAATCTCTTCTCTACGACTGCTGCGTCTGGAGCTGGTCCACGGTTGCACCTCTTTCTTTATTGTTTTTAATTTGCTAGGTGCGCTGTTGTCCCACCGTCTTTGCCATTCTTGGAATATGGTTTCTCTCAGAGGTCGTGCAAGTTCAGATGGTGTCAAAAAAACTTTAGCGCGGCCTGGAAGAGTAAAAGCTTCTTTTGCTGCTCTATCAGCCATTTCATTTCCTTTTATTCCTACATGGTGAGGCGACCAGATAAAATGTGCCGTTGTTCCAATTCCATGAAGCATTTTTATATGTAGTATTTTTAAGTATCCCAAATACTCTGAGTGTAAAGTTGGAAAGTAGGTTTGCCTCTAATATTTTGTGAAGAAAATCGTTTTTTTTTTCTTTTATTTAACATCATTCTATTAGCTTTCATTCTTTCTTTCGATGGCACTACGTTCCTTGCAGAACCCTGACCTCCTCCGAAATTCTCCGCCATTCATCCCTGTCCAAAGCCGCCCTTCTCCACCTTCGGTCCTCAAGTTCTCCTGCACGTCCTCCAGCCACCGCAATCTGGGACGGCCTTCCCCCTTCACCAAAGTGTCCGTCCAGAAGCCTCTTCGGGATACGCCGCTCCTACATCCTCTGCAAATAGTCCAGCCACCCAATTCTACTCTTCTTGATGCAGGTGACAATATCCTGGGCTTTGTATAGATCACGGGTCTTCTGATTGTTCCTCTGCCTCCACCAATCTCCCTCCCTCAAGGAGCCAAAAATCCTTCTCAGAACTTTCCTCTCCCACACGTTCAGCACTTGCTCTGACTCAATCGCTCAATTAGCTTTACGAATGATAATTGAAAATTAATTAGTTTCGGAACATTTATTATTAGTTATCTGTCCGTATCTCTCCAACGTTTGGTTACATCAGAAATAGTGATTTGGTAAAAAACATAACCAGCGTTATGCTACTATTTGTAAAGTTAATATCAATTTTTACTCATTAAAAAAAAAATTATTCTGGGACTAAAGTTCCCTAAGAATAATAATATGGTACAAAACATTGGTCCTTTAGGCTGGTTTGTCAGAACACAAAGAGTTCATTTGAATGTTAATTTCAATTGTTATCACAATCATACCTGAATAACAATAGTAAACACTTTAACACTAGTACATTCTATATGGTTTACATGTATACAAAAAAAAAGTATATAAATAAATGAAATCAAATCAAATGGAACTTGTCGATTAATTGTTAGTGAGAAGATTTAATTATAGAAACAAATAAGTATTACGTAGATACGGAAGTTTGAAAATGAAATAGGTTGTGGAATAAGAGTTGTTTGAAGGAATTCAAGGTATTTTAGCATCAATGACGAAGAATTTGATGAAGGATGTAGTTTTATCAGAAGGGTCATATAAGGCTCAAATCAATAGGTTGAGGTCTGGTATTGCACTGTATAGAGGAACGTAGAGTGAGTAGTTCCATGATTTAGGAAGGATTTTAGATTCTTAGGACCTGGAAAAGGAAAATATGAACATGAATTGTCATGGGGAAGCCACTTCAACTCGGTGTACCAGTAAGAAACATGAGAACGGCTGGGAATTCCAAAGATGAATCTTATAAAACAGTTCATAAGCCTCTTCAATTTCATATCCAGTCCCTCAGGCACCCCTCCATACACCAAGCAACCGTAGTCCAAATGGGAGAAACTAAAGCAGTTACAAGGAGCTGTCTGCTTTTTTGAGGAATTGAATCACGGGATCGTAGGAATTGTTTTGTTTTTTTTATTGAAATATATTACAATCTGTCTCAGCGACATTAATAATAGTGTTCACAGATCACGTTCACACTCTATGTACAGTAAATAAAATAAATTATACAGAAAATAATATATATATAATAAATAAGAATAAAATAACCTAAAAATAAATAAATAAAAAGAACACATGCACACCTATATACAATATTTACAACTTGGCGAGAGAACTCCAAACCAGACTTGTCCTTCCAACTGTGGAGGGAAAAGTATGACTCCAGGAGTTCCCTGCACTCCTCTCTCAACCGCGTCACTAGGGCTAAACCCAGTGGAGATTGAGCAAGAGTGCTTTATAGCCACATACACATGTCGTGAGTGGAGAATCTGGCCATTGCCAGAACTCCAATATTTACAAACTATAAAAGATCGCGGGGCCACTGCCGTTTTAACCTCCTTGGAGGATTATATGGATGGGTGGTGCTGGATATTTTGCAAAGGGATTTGGATGATGGGTAAGGTTCTGGTGGAATTTGGAGAATTTTGCTGGGATAAGGTCTAGGACAAATGGGATATTAAGGTCATGGTGTAGGGTTTTGTTGGTTACATAGAAAGGAGCATTGACTATTGTTCGAAGGACTTTTGATTGGAAGGATTGGATGCGTTTGATGTTAGTCAATTTTGCTGTTCCCCACAGTTCATGTCCGTAAGTCCAGATAGGTTTCAGTATTGTCTTGTAGATCAGTAACTTGTTTTCAATGGAAAGTTTTGATTTTCTGTTTAGTAGCCGGTATAGTTGTCCGTATCGTCGGTTTAGTTCCTCTCTTTTAAGTCTGGTATGAGGGTTCCACGTTAGTCGTCTGTCTAAGAGAAAGCCGAGTTATCGGACTGTGTCCGAGAAAGGAAGCTGAATGGAATTAAAGTGTACTGGTGGGCAGGAACTGCGTCGGAGCGTGAAGGTGATGTGTTGGTATTTGGATTCGTTTACTTTAATTCACCATTTATTACACCAGTGCTCAATCAGGGAGAGGTGTCTTTGAAGGTTTAAGGATGCCATATCAGGATCTGAGTCGGATGATAGAATGGCGGTGTCATCAGCTAAAGTGTCCAGGAAGGTATCGGGATGGACAGGGATATCGGCGGTAAAAAGGATGTAAAGGACAGGACCCAATACGCTACCTTGAGGAACACCTGCCTCAATTGGATAGCAATTCGATAATTCACTACCGCAGCGAACTCGGAAGGTACGATCTGAGAGGTAGGAACGGAGGACAAGGTATAAGGACTGAGGAAGATAGGTTTTCAGCTTGGAAAGAAGCCCGGCGTGCCATACCCGGGTAGGAATTGTTTAAGGACTGTTATAAATTTTTGGGTTATCTGAAAAATATGGTTATTCCAGGAAATATTCTGATCAATGATAACTCCAAGCTTTATTACTGTTGGGAAAAAATTAATGGGGCCGTAATTGAGGTAGAGTAGAGGAGAGTAAGGAAGGGAATTAATGAGATGCCTGGACCCGATCAGAATAGCCCTAGTTTTATTTATTTATGTTCAGCTTTAACTTATTTATTTTTGCCCATCTGTGGATACAGTCAGTATCCTTTTGTAGCTTTCGGGTAGTGTCAGGCATCTCATAAGGGTGGAAAGATTGGTAAATTTCGAAATCATAGGCGTATAAGTGATTAGACAGTGAGGAGCCTTGAGGAACACCTTGTGTTAATTGGAGGGCTGATGATGGAGATTTATTAGGAAAGACTACGAGTCTGCGAGCGGTAGGATAAGAAGAAGTAGAACCATTTCATAACACTATTTGATATGGATAGGCTTTGGTTGACGGAATCGTAGACACTTGTAAACTCGAAAAGGATTAGGATAGAAATTTTTCTTTTATCTATGGAGGATTGTAGGTCTTTGGTAATATTTAGCAAGGCAGATTGGGCATAATACTCATATACACTATATATTTTTAATCCACAAATATTTTCGTTTATTTAAACTGGATGAATTATTTGTTAAATTATTTTGTAACTGGACTTTGTTATTTGAGGCAATTTTAATCTTTTGTAATACTAATGGATTAAATATTTACTTCGTAATTTATAAGAAAACTTTTATCCTTTTAATAAACACAGAAGTTATTGTAATATATCAAGATATATCTAAGTGAGATCTTACCTGATTAGAATAATTATTTTAAATTATATTATTTAAGGATTGATACAAAATGTAATATATATGTATATAATGTTATAGTGCTGATAATATTTTTCTAATATATTCTATTTTCGACACTACCTTTCATGATATTTGGTAGGAGATGATTGCACTCCACTTGGTGGAGGCTTTGGGATATGCAAATTGATTTCCAAGTGCGAGACTGTTGGAGATTTCAAGACAAATCACCCACCAATCTGTTCTTTCAAGGGAAAGGATAAGGAGCCGATCATATGTTGTCCAAGAAACCAGCTGAAAAATATACCTAAGGTGGAGAATATACCTGGTCGAAAGGTTCAGAAAGGTAAGAGCTTTATTAATCGATAGATGGATTAGATTTAGATATTATCTATATTATCTGTTAGATTTTATCTATATTTATATATAGGTAATATAAAACTAATTGTCTTCATAATAGATTTATATTCTACCATTTTTAACAAGGGAGTCGGTGTGAACGATTAATTTAAAAATATGGTTCTAATGCAACTTCCTTGTACAGATTTTTCGAGGTAGTGATTTGAATTTATAATTTGCGGTGCTGTCTAAAATAAAACGCTACTGACTTCCTCTTGCTAGGTTATTATTTAATGATTAGTGAAGCAGTCCGATGAATATCTTTTCGTGAGGATCGAAATTGAAGAATCATTCCTAAAATAAAGGAACAATGAACATTATATTATCTCAAAGAATAATATTAATATCTCTCAAACTTTATTTATTTGTTCGCTCTCCTCCATTGCCTCTCCACAATATGATTTCTGGTTGGAGGACACCTTTTATTTTATTTTATTTTTTTGTTATAGTATGTGATGAACTAAAATCTATATGCCTAAGGAAGAATGATCCTAATGAAAACATTGTCATTGATGCATTTAAACCACCCGAACAGGTATACCTCTACAGCACGCTTTAAAGTTACTATTAATACTTCAAATTATAAACATTTCTTTATTGAATAATATTACAATCAGTCACAACTAAGAGAATTAGTGAAAAGTGAAAAGTTGATTCAGTCCGTATCTACAATAAATAAAAATAAATTAAATAGGGCAGCAGTAAAAAAATAATACTTATATATAAACAAAAAAAAACATAAACTAATCAAAACAATGACATAACTACGTGCGTATTTTGATTTGATATCTAAAAATTTATTCACTCAGGAGAAGTCCGTGCCAAGACTTACTCCTCTCCCGTGACCCCCACATCACTCGTGGAAGGAAAAACAGGTTTTCAGCAGATCCTAGCGCCTTTCACTCAGCTGCATCACTTGTATTAAGTATCAGTGGATGCTAAGTTGAGGCACTATAACCACAGACGTAATTCAAATTATAAAATAGTTCAATTAAGCATAACATAATCTCATTGATGCTTTTAAAGGTACTGTTTTCTTTTCTTTCTTTTTTTTTAATACTATAAGTATAATAATACTGCATCAAATACAACAACCATTCTTTACCCACCTAAACTTACGATCACCATCATCTAAAATAAATAAAATAAAAACATCGATGAAATATTAAGTAAAATTATTTCTAATTAAGTTCGTGACACCATTTTTTTATTATTTTTTTTTATTATTTTAATGGAATTTACAACTGTTTTACATAGAGAATACAATAAGTAAATGAGAAATTTGTAACATGGCATGTACAACATGAAGAGAAACTACCCATTGGTAGAACTCAAATTAAAGTTCTATATTAGAAGATCCCGAGGCCATCTTCTTTTCAGACGCCTCGGAGGGTTATCAGGGATCGAGGAGGAAGCAAGGTTTGAAACGAGAGGATTCGGATGATTCTGCAGTTATTTTTTTATTTAAAAAAAAAAGATTCCATTTCCTTGCTAAATCAACAACAAGGGTATCTATCATGGCTCAAATCTAATCAAATCAAATTCCTATAATTATAAATTCATTTTTATTATTATTATTGTTCTTTTGGACTATTTAATTTATTTTTATTTATTGTGTATATGGTGTGAGCTACTGTACCACTACTTACTAATGTCCATAGTGACAGAATATAATATTATTCAATAAAGAAATGCATAAGAATGCCTACAAATACTACTAAAAATATGATATAAAAAGTGTAAAATTACCTTTAAAGAATTTTGAGTTTGAATAGAGAAATTAACTAAACAAAATTTAATTGGATGTCTTAATGAATTTATTTAAAACATCACTTTTTTTGTAATAATTTAGTTTATTGGTATTTACATAACCAAATGAGAACAGTTTTACAATAATTGCATTTATTTATCATTTCCTTTAAAACTTTACAATTTAATATAACTATTCATTTTACAGAAAACCATTTTCTCTTTTAAGTACAGCTCGATCAGGGGAGTTGTATACTTTATTAGAGATTCAATATACATTTTTATTAATCTTAGTTTGCTTTAAAATTAATAATAAATATATACTGTTTCAGGACAAAGATACTTGTGGACTTTTCGTGGTAAGACTTTTAATTACGTCCTATTTGATTTTAATTATTATCATTTGCTTAAAATTATGTAAATTAAATTAAATTTAAATTTAAATTATAATTTTTTTAAATTATTTATTTTTTACTTATGAAAATATGCTTAGAACTAATTGACTCATTTAAATAATTCATATTGCACTACGCTCTGTCACCGAATTTTGTCATGAAAAATAATATTGAGATTGTAAATATCAAGCTCATTGTAAAAATGTACAAGAATGTATAGCGTTTCATTATCTAAAAATAGGCATTAGCTTGTCAAATCTGAATTTTTTTTAATAATATTTAGATTATGAATAATAAGAAACATTTTATTTCAAAATTAAATTTGTAAAAATCGCGATATCATTATTAATATTATTAATTATGTAGAGATGGTTGACCGTTGATATAATATGAGAAGGATTTAGTCAAGGGTGCGGTCAAATAAATAAAAAAGTTAAAATAAATTAATTATTTTAATTTTTGCCATAAAAAAATTAAAATATATTAATTATTTTAATTTTTGCCTTAAAAATTAAAATATATTAATTATTTTAATTTTTGCCTAAAAAAATTAAAATATATTAATTATTTTAATTTTTGCCTGTCAAATAAATAAAAAATTAAAATATATTAATTATTTTAATTTTTGCCTAATATATTTTTTTTTTATTTATTTGACCGCACCCTCGACTAACTCCTTCTCATATTAATATTATTAATTAATTAATTTAATAGTGCTTTGATTACGATGAATCTTTTTTTATTTTTTAGGAAATTGAAACAAATTTTAAGCATCTAATCTACTAACTAAAAGTTATTCGAAAATTTAATTTTACCAACCCTTTTAACTTTTTTTCTGTTTTCTTTTCGGTGATGTATGCTATATTTGATTGAGGAGGTCCATTCCCGATGACGGGATGTAGCGCCATATATGTATGTATGTATGCATGCTATATAGATAAGCTATAAAGGCTTCATGGAGAAGACATTAGCCAAGTTTTATTAAAATCGTTACAACCGTTTTGGCCATATGGTCTATAGCGACTAAGATTTTTCGGCCGCCATCTTGAAAGGAAGGGGCGGGTGATAATGCGGAGTTTCAAGGATCTTCCTCGGATGGACTTCGAAATTGATAGAAAAATCTTAAAATAATTGAACCATCAGTCACGGCGAAAAGCCGCGTTCGGCTTACTTTTATTTATTCGATTTTCGAATTCTAGGTGACTTAAAACGTATAACGCTCAAATTTTGAGGAAAGGGGTTAACTTTTCTATTTCTTGGTCGATTATAAAAGTTATTAAATATACCAAATCAAAAAACATTTTATACGAGCGATATAGACAAGCATATATTAGCTTAGTATGAATGAGAAATTTAATAAATGTGTAAATGAATTTTCTAAAATTCTAAATGGTGAAAATCCCGATTGGGTTCCAGGTGAGCGGAGTTGGTGGAGTAGAAGTTGCACCAAGAGGGCATCCCTATATGGTAAGGCTTAGTATTAAGTGTTTTTACAAAATTATTATGTCATGTCAATATTTTATCTTATATTCTCAAAATATGGCAGCATTCCTAGTTGCTATGAAAGAATTTCGTAGTCGGTATAAATGTATATTATTTTTATATAATGGCAAGTTAATATTTCCTCTTCCAACTGGCTGGGGTACCCTCCAATGTTTCTTAGTCTCATTACTTCGTAGAATATCTGTTTGTTCAACAAGTTTTCATTCATTCTTCATGCAGAACGTGATGATTGAAGAGGCATATCAGTCCTTCGGTTTCTGCTAAAGGCAATGAAGAATATCCTTCGTTTCACGAAAAAGTAATAATCGACCAGAAAAAAGGATTCATGTGAGGAGGGGTCACACTAGATAAAATTTTCATCCTCAATTAGGTGCTTGAAAACTATGAAAATTATTTCAATACGTGCACGAATTATTTTCTATTTTAAATCAGAATAAGATAGAAGATCCCAGAAAAATTGGTGAGATTTATACGTCTACATATACTTCTGTGTCTTGGGCCCAGTTCTTTATATCCTTTTCACCGCTGACATCCCTTCAAGTCCTGATACCTTCCTAGCAACATTTGCTGATGATACTGCCATCCTATCCTCCCACTCAGATCCTCTAATAGCATCCCGAAACCTGAAAAGACACTTCTCCTTCATTGGGCAGTGGTGCAACAACTGATGCATCAAAATTAATGAATCAAAATGTAAACATGTCACTTTCACTCTTCGACGCAGATCCTGTCCGGATTGACGGATCCTTTTTAATTCGATTCGTCTTCCCTACTCAGACACAGTCCGATACCTTGCCTTCCTTCTATACAAAAGACTAACTTTGAACCCACATACGAGATAAAATTAAGAATAAAAAAAGATAGTGATAACCCTCCTCCATTCCTCCGTTTATATTGAATGAAAGAGTTGTAGAGTAGAGACAATTTATATATTGTTCCCAATGATTTTCATTAAAAATCTATTGTGTCCACTTCTTTTTTTCCTGTATATTTAAAAAAAAAAAACAACTTTAAATGTGTCTATTAGATACAAATATTAGATATCAAAAAAATAGATAAAGAAAAAAAAAATTGAAATAGATTCATTTTCCTAAAAACCGATCCGTGAAATCATTAGGGTAGGATTCCTTAGATAAAACAAGCAATGTAAACCACCATTAAAATTAGCGTATAAATACCAATATATACTATAACAGCTAAAACGAGTCAGATTCAGATGATTTTTTGTCAACAATTTTGTCAGAAATGTAATGACCTTTAAAAAAATAGGCTTTAAAACAGGCTCAGAAACGTTTAGATCTGTTAAAACCGATAGATGTATACGTAGTGAGTTAGCTCCCCAAACCAATATTCTTTTCTTTACAACTTTGTTTTCTTGAGTTTTTCAGTAGATGAACCAAATTTCAAATTTATTAACATAAAAAAAACATAAATTATAATATCTTATTTGAAGTATATAAATAAAGAATTTAGAAGCTACAACAAGAATTTCTAATGATAAAAAAACCTGAATTTTATAATAAGATATCTCACGTTATCTACCATAATGTCATTTATTTTTGTATTTTCAAATATTATTTCTGACAATATATTCATTTCTCACATAATAGTTTTGCTACAAAACGAAAAAAACAAGGAAATCTGATTAAAAATACCAGATTTATATAATTATAGCCAAAAATATCCATTTAGGGATGACTATACGGAACTTGCGAAGCTCATATTCTGAGAACATTAATCCCCTTTACTGTCGCTTAGTTTCACGAAGGAATCCGGTTTTGAAATAGAATTTAGTCTTAATTCTTAGTTGCCATTTGTTGCCATTCTACTACAAATTTTTCGATTCCATCCATTCTTTGAAAATTGTTCGAAAACATTTATTGAGATGTCTATATCAATAATTAACAATTAATAGTAGCCACCGTTGACTTGAGGCTCTTTGTAATTAATATTTGTCGAAGTTTCTCAATACCTGTTACGCGGAGGTAAACATGATAATAACCAGAGGTGCCCACAGAGGTATTATATGCCGAAAGTTGCGCCATCAGATTTCTGTTTGGGACAAATTAAGTTTTCAATTTTAAGAGAACATTTAAACCAGAAAACAAAGAAGAAAAAAACGCACTGAGGTTAGCGAGTATATAAAAAAAATATCCAAGGGCGCCGCATACTCGGAAAAGCGGCAGATATGATTTTATCCTAAGTACTCAACACAAGCAGGGCATTGTTTTCCGTATATCCAGTTTCAGCATTAACTCAAAGGGCACCGCTTGTTTGAAACATTGGTATGCGGTATCTTCATTGTATTGTATTGTGTGTTTATAATAAATACAACTAATGCCTTGGTCTTTGGTAATAAGACACAGAAACAAATTTAAAATAATGTAGCAACAAAACAATAACTTATTAAATGTTACCATCAGTGACAGGTCGTTTCAACATTCTTAAATAAACTAATTAGAAAATAAAAACTAATTTCTAATATTATAAATAAACAAACCAATATTATATCCACTATCGAGCGGACTAACGAGTGTGCACAGCACAGCGCGTTGCCCGTCAACCTGATAATCGAAGTAGGAGACAATAAAATAATTATAAGTTCTTTCAGCTCTGGCATTAATCCCCCGACCTCATCCATTGGCCAGCGAAAACCCCCCGTGTAACCTAAATGGCGAGGAAGGGGAGAACAAAAAAAAAAATAATTTTTTATTATAATTTGGAGAGCTATACTCAAATATACAATTCTAAAAGAAAAAAACAACGATGTTTAGAACAGATGATTAAAATCTTTAAGCACCGACCTATATCTGAAAATAGTCTCAGTTTGATTTAACTGCAAGACCTGCAAGACTTGCAGGGTTTAGTCTTGGTCTTGTGCAAGATTGGAGAGTCTGGTCTTGGTCTTGGTCTTGCAACAATGTTTGTGGTCTTGCATTTTTGCAAGACCAAGAACAAGCCTGCAAGACCGAGTCCAATTTTGGGCAACACTAGTGGCAGTTCACTTGACTAATAAAGTGCTGCCCTATTACCCATTACATCCAAACCAACATGCTTATCTCGAGGGAAAATCTATGGATACAGCGTTACACTCTCTTATATGGAAAATAGAAAATGCCCTGCATTTCAAGGAGTCTGCACTAGGACTCTTTTTCGATATAGAAGGGGTATTCGATAATATCTAATCAGTAGCAGTTTGTAAAGCCTTAGAAAACATATCTGTCCCAACTGGACTTATCAGATGGGCAAGATTTGAACTAAAAAATAGAATTATTGTTATTTCAGAAGAAGCAGTCAGATTGCAGGCGCAGGCGGTGTGGGGGGAGGGGAGGGGTTACCAGGGGAGATGCGTTTCGCCTCTGCTGTGGTGCCTGGTAATGAATGACTTACTAAAAAGACTGGAGGAAGCTGGGATTCCTTATTATACAATAAGGAAAGTTCATAAGTACCATCTTTGAACGAATGCAAGTCGCTTGCTACTTCGTTCAGTCATGGTGTACCGACATGAAATTATCAGTCAACCCACTGAAGACTGAGTTGATTCTCTTTACCAAGAAACGCAAAATGGATGCCTTCCAGACTCAAAGCTTCTTTGGTAAACAACGTCAACTAAGACAGAATGTCAAATACTTGGGTATTACCATAGATTCCAAACTAAACTGGGGACCACATTTGACAGAAGTTATAAGGAAAATAATAATAGCCTTTTGGCAAGTAAGACGTGCTGTAGGTATAACTTGGGGCTATAACCCTAAAGTCATGCATTGGATATATACGGCAATTATAAGACCAAGAATACAATACGGAAGCGTGGTGTGGTGGGTAGCCCTAAATAAGGCTACTCATATGCGAATACTATGCCGAATTCAAAGAACGGTATGCATTAGCATTACTGGGTAATTCTGCGCTACACCTACAAAGGCTGTAGAAATATTAATTGTCATTGACTCCGCTACACCTGATAATGGGTGAGGCGGCTATGGAATTTTTAAGAATGAAGGATAATATACAGTGAAAATTAACAGGGACACGCACCGGCCACTTAGAAATAGCCAGGAAGGTGGAAAAAGAGTTACCTATCTTACGGTACCTCTCTCAGCCGCTTGACAAAAACCTTACTCTAGATAGTAAGGTCAGCTACCTGTACCCTAACTTAATAGATTGGGAACAGGGTTCTTTGGAGACTCAAAAGGACTACCTGCCCTGTTTTACTGATCTACTCAAGGAAAGACTCTAATAGTTTAACGGGTGCAGGAGTCTATATGGAGAACCTAAATATAGAATTAAGCATACCACGAGGTAAACATGCTACGGTATTTCAACCAGAGGTGCTTATGCTATACTTTCTGCAGTCACTTGTTTAGAAGTTACCAATTGAGAGAATGCTGGCATTAAAATCTACTCGGATAGTCAGTCAGCACTACAAGCATTGCAGTCTCCCAAAGTGACCTCCACACTAGTGCAGGAGTGCAAACAGGCGTTGGAGAAACTGGCCTGCTCCAAGAGGGTGGAACTAGTGTCTGTCCCTGGTCACAAGGGAATTAAAGGCAACGAAAAAACTGATTACCTAGGAAGGAAAGGAGCGGAATCTCCAATTGTAGGCCCGGAACCTGCAATAGGAATATCCAAAAAATATCAGCGGAAAGATGTCCTCGATTGGACTTGGAAGATAACAGGTAAAGAATGGAGGGAATGCACTGGGCTTAGACAGGCGAAGCAATTTATTAAAAGCCCCTCTCCCTCCAAAAGTGGCTGCTGGGTCTAACTAGGAAATAAAGCCGACTCCTCATTGGAGTACTAACAGGCAACTGCAGACTTAAAGGACACTTGAAGATCTGTGGGATAGTGGATGATAAGCTCTGTAATTTCTTCAGAAGTGCACCTGAAACTGCCCTTCACTTCAGATTACTAAGTAGGACATCTCATCTATCGATTGAAAAAAAAACTTTTAATCTACAAGACCATATTGAAACCTATCTGGACCTACAGACTTGAACTGTGGGGAATTGCTAAACATTAGAATATCAAACGCATCCAATCCTTCCAGTCCAAAGTACTTAGAACAATAGTCAATGCCCAGAACCTTATTCATCATCCCAATCCTTTAGCGCAATCCCTATCCAGCTCCGAGCATCCATACCATCCCCCTCGAAGGTTGAAACGGCAGTGGCAACGAGATATTTTGTAAATATGCCTTTGGAGTCATGGCCAGCTTCTCCACTCATATCCTGAGCGTCTGTGACTCTAGTGCCCTCTTACAGTCTCCACTGGCTTCTAATACTTGTGATGCGGCTGGAAAAGTTGCATTTGGATCTTTTGGAGTCTTGATTTGTCTTCCAAATGTGGGGGGAAAAGCCTGGCTCGGAGATTCTTGGGCGAATGTATATATTGTATATAGTTATGATTGTGTTTAGAAGTTTTATTTTATTTTATTTGTTTATTTTTATTTATCTTCTTCATCAGTATTATTTATTTACTTCTTATATTTATATTTATTTCTCTATTATTTGTATATATTGTACGAATGAGAACTTTTAGCCCTAATACTTATAGCCCTCCAGCAGTGGCTGATTTTATTACTATTCATTAAATAGATTTAAAAAAACAACAACATATAACTCTAAATATAAAATACTGAAGCAAGGCGAAGTAGTGAAATATGTGAAGCGGGTCGAGGTAAGGAAAAAAATGACAAGAACAACTTAACTTGAAAATAAAGGTGAGAGAACTGGAACGAATAATAAAATCATATGAAATGCAGATCATAACGTTTTCCTTGGGTGGAATCAATTAAACATTGAGGGGACTCTCCAAGACATTGAAAAGAGAAGCAGAGTAAATCGGCCTCCAAGTTAATGAAATTTTATCTTCATTAAAGAAATATACTTGGGTATTATAAGCGCAAAAGCTTCTTTATTCTCAAAGCTACTTAATCCCTTGAAAACTATCTATACAATCCAAATAATAGTTTAGAACGTTTTGTATGATAAAGCCACTTCTAATATCCGGATGCAAGACGTTGTCATGGAAAGAAATGATCGAAAGATGTGATAGATTGAAATCCACAGCTAGATAAAACGAAGTAATAATAATGAACTTCTTCCAGAAACGGGTCAATCAATATCTCATTATATGAAAGCTAGGAAGTTAAGATGGGCAAGGGGAATATATCTTAGAGCAATTCATCTGGAAGCCTCTACATAGAATGTAATACAAAAACCAAAAAAGATCAACTGGATGGTTAGATAGTATCAGACGTAACAAATATTTTGCAATAGCAGTAGTCCTTGATAAGAACAGATGGCAGATGTTTCACGCCAACCAAAGATGCATAAGACCAGGGTCCAAAAAAAAAGAAGGTATATATTTCAAAATTCAAATTTATCGATTTATTATATAATTGTATTATGTTTCTATGGGTGGATGATTTCATTCAATTTATATTTATTTTAACTAATGCTATCCTAAATTTCAGAAGACAGTCAATAATAATATATATATTTATGAAATTTCTAAGCAGAGTTTTAATTTTTTAGACTTTTATTGGTTACTGCGGTTATGAGAAAAAGCATTGTGATGTAAGTGAGGCGATTTGGGGGTGTGGTGGATCCCTCATAACACCGAGGTATATTTTGAGTGCGGCTCACTGTGCTACTCCGTATGACTTGTAAGTTACTCTTTTTATTTTATCATAAACTACAGTCTGGTTTTTATTTGATAATAGATGTTGGGAACTAATATTTTGTAATTTTGTTTTGTGAAGATAGCAAAAAAAGATAGTGACAGCAAAACAATGTGGAAATAATTAGTTCCTATGTATTATGTAAGGAAGGAACTAATATTTTTTCCTTAGTCGATTACAATATTGCATTAAACATAATAAATCAAAATATTTGTACAAATTGCTTTGCTAGGACCTATTTTTAAACGCTGACTGGGAAGATAATAAAAGATTTTATTGGTATTTAATAGTATTTTTCGCATGTGAAGGAAGAGAAAATCTTCAAAATGAGTAGTTAATCATTGGATTTGACGAAGAATTAACGAAGTTATTTCGTACTGAAAAAAAAAACACTTTTTAGAAATAATATATAGAATAGAAGAGCTGTGCTGAGATACTAGTCATGGCAACGACTTCTCTTTTTGTTATGATGTTTTCGCCTGCTTTTAACTAAAACATTCATAACTTCTCAGGATTTTATCCTGATTCAATGTTTCTACAACCGTTGGAAAGCTGAATTGTTCCTCTTCAAGACCGCAAAAATGAATTTTTGATTTAACACCCCTATAACGAGTAAATAAATCAAAACTTCTAACAGGTTTTTATTTTATAACTTGAGTTTTAAATTATTTAGGAAGGTACAGTTTGTGTCATTTCATGTAATTTATAAGACCTTATATTCCTGCGAAATTTCATGTAAATAGGTGGAAGAATATTGAAGTTATAACAATTTTTGTGAATTTCGAAAAAATATCGAAGTAGGAAAAAGTAGGAAAAAAACATTATTTTTCAATCGTAATGAAAATTCGTATTCGAGGGTCTTTCGAGTTGCAAATACAAATCTCAACTCTCTTCAACCTTAAAAACAATTTTTAACACACTTTACTCCTTCCGTAAATACAAATTGTTTAAATTTTACGTTTTATAGTAGATTTTTACAATTTATTTTTTGTTTTGAAGGTAATTAAGTAATCTTTCTAATTATCATAGGTACCATTAAGAAACAAATACATACTTTTTGAGTTATTCACAAATAAAATTTTTTTCCTCCATAATTTTTTCCCCAGAAATTTTGGGAGGATGGGACTATTTTTCGCATGTGAAGGAGAAAAATATCTTCAAACGACAAAGGCATGACGACAAAAACACACCTTTTAGAAATAATATATAGGAAAAATAAAAATTAACATTTATTTAAGTATAATTTATTAAATTCAGAAATATGATTTATTTATTTTGATTTTTTAATGCACATAAACAAACATAACTAGCATATACTTATATAGAATACTTATAACGCACCGGATACTCAATTTGGGTGAACATTTGATAAGGCCTGTGTCAATCAATATGCTCAAAATATTTTTCTGTCGGGCATAAAAAAATATGAAACATATTATATGAATTAAATTATAATATGGCAAGAACATCGATCTCCTATGCCCAAGTTGCAGAGTGCCGGAGACCGCCGAGCATATCATCCTTGTCTGTACCGCCTTTGAGGCACTGAGGGCTGTTGAGGGAGACGGGGCTCTACGCTCTGACGGAGAGCGATCTCCCTCAACTTATGACAAAGGAAAAATACCCGTATTACAAGGCATTCGTATACGGGTGGAAGGAACTGGTTGGGTTAAACCACTATCCATTGGGAAGAAGAAATGAACCTGCATACGGAAGACCGCCAGAGAGGGTGGAATAGGATGCTGGCTAAAAAGAAAAAAAGAGCAGGCTGTGAGCACAGCTGTAAAAAATGTAATTGGTCTGAATGCAGCAGTGAATTGTAACGCATGCGTTGCTACTCACTACTGCATAACACCCGTATTGCCTTATCGGCAGGGTAGGATGTAAATAAAAAAACTAAAATAAAATAAGAATTAAATTATAGAGTAACAACAAGTCAATAACCCTCTTCTATTGATGTCCACTACAGTACCCATGGCTTTTGAACATCAATTATTATGGCATAATTGATGTTTAAAAGCCATGGTTAAGATAAGATGTTCATTTTAGTTTGAGTTTAAAAATCTTGTGCGGTGAACACACAACTTTCTCTTACTGCTCTACTTTGAATAGAAATTATCCGATTGTCAGATGACAGAATGACTAACTCTAATTTCAACACTTTTCAGTAAAATCATTTTAGGGATATTTCTTGTTGGAGAAGTTATATATATACAGACAGTGAGTACATTGATTCCATAATACGTGATTGTAGTGCTGAAATATAGAACTGTGAATAAAGATGTACGTTTCTCACTAGAAACATCACTAAAATGAATAATAAAGAATATTGAAATTGGAATTAGTCATGCATATAAATAATTCTAGATTGTAAGATTATCAGTTATCAAAATGTTATTTTCCTTTGTAAAATGAGTAAAATGAAATTGCGAGATTTTCATGCCTGCAGTAAATAGGTCAAAAGATATCACACTAATTGGAAGTGGTTAATGTTGAGATATCGCAAAGGGAAAATTCATCAAATTATTTACTAATTTAATTTTCTATAAGAATACCTGATGCTTTTTTCGAACAGCCGATAGATACCTAATTGTTTATATAAAATATGAGATCTAGAGTTATTAAACTACAGTAAATATATTTAAGGTTATAAACATATCCATGATTTTTTTTTTTTTTTTTTTATATTTTCCTTCTGCTTTCACACAAGTATAATGAATTAGTATTTTAAACAATGCCATTGCCTTTATTCAGTGTATTTTAAATACAAAAAAAAAAAAAAATTAGAATTTTACATTTAGTAAGAAAATGTAATTCAATTTTCTTGGAAATATGTGATTTACGTTAAATAATATTAATTTTAAGAAATTATTATTAACAATTTTTTCGTCTCTCTCTGTTGCCTTCTACAACTTCATTTATTTTACTTTATATTATTTTCCTATAAGCATTTTTCTATAGCTTCCAATCATCATATTCTTTCAAATTTTATATTTAGTCATTTTTGTACTTTAGAGGAAGAAGTATATGAACATTTGGTATTTAAGCCCTAAAAGTTAAATCGATGAGGATAAGGCCTAAATAGAATTAAAGACCACTTAATTATACCGTAGTACACCTAGTTAAATCAAAATCGTTGGAGCCGTTTTTGAGAAAATTGTAAAAATATGTTTCAGCGTTGATATAAAGTGGCACTTCCGGTTAGCCGATTTTAAGGAAAAAGTTGCAGTCACATCTAAGGCATACATATACCTATCTTAAATACGTAATATCAGTTTCGTAGGACTTTTCGTTTTTGAGCAAGACTGCTAACATACAAACACACAGACACAACAGTTCCCAAAATCTATAATCGCTTTTATAAATTTACAGATTCATGCTTTTCACGTTTCAGATTCTCTTCAATCATCGGAGACTAGGGAGTCCTTAAAAAAAAAAAAGAATAATAAAAAAATTCGCTTAAAGAAACTACTTAATTCGACAACCGATTGAATGTTTAAACAAAATCTATCTTATTACGTTTTTTGATAAACCAATCAATGGAATATACCTTGCTATAGTGAACTATACTGTTAAATGTGTCATGTTTACCAAAGCTGGATAGTGTCATTAAATCGGATTGTGTTAGGTTAAATCGGTGAAATCAATCTCCAGATCTCAGTATAGTTTTTATTTGCAATCCTTACTATAGGAGACCCAAACCTAAGCCTGCTGGTACCATTTTGGGTGTGTGACGTCAGAGGTACTCGCTTGACATGTACTTCACAAGCGATCACTATTCGACGTGGTGGGAAGAGAATGTTTATTTTATGTTTTGTAACTAGCTGATAAGCAATAAATTGGAAGCATAAATTAAATAGTCCATAGTTGGTGTTGGCAATGTTGTATTTAACCCATCATATATTTAAATACATACTCATTTGTCTGTATCTTATTTTACTGTTTCACATTACTTTTTAAATGTAACCTGAAAGCATGTGAATCACTCTTATTTATGTGACCATCCCCCCTTCTCCACCCCACCCAATGAGTTCTGAGTAAATCAGCATTGCGGCAAAAACGGCGCATCTTTTACGTTGTGGCTAACTATCCATCCAAAAATCCTTATAAACATTTTTATTAAATACTATCTGTCTTTGTCTCATCTGAATATTATGGATTTTAAGTTATCTTTATCTTCAATGGTCTTATATCCTTCTGGCTGGGTGTCCGGTTCTCTTCTTAATGTAATTGCACTATCTCTTGACCGTCCTTTTCTGATCAAGAGTATTTCTTCCAAATGTCATTCGTCAAGGGTCACTCGTTCAAGTGAAATTCGATCCTACATAATCCAACCTTTTCAACCGCTTCTTCTTCTTTGGTGCTACATTCAACGTGGGGTCAAGGCCTCTTGCAACAGCAGTCACCAGTGATTTTTATTAAAAGCAGTCGATATCCATCTCGATATATATTAAGGATGGATTTCGTTTCAGCTGCTCATGTATATCAGCCCAATGCAACTTGGGTCTTCCGATTTGCCTTCTTCAGAATAGCTGTTCAGTAAGGAGCTTCTTTGGAATTTGGCTATCAGGCATCCTAGCCACATGGCCTGCCCAACGAAGTGGACCAATCCTAAAAACCTAACAAAGCCACTGTCCTGGAACTTCATATACTGTCCTGGAAACTCTCCTGGAAAGCCACTTTCTGCAGTTCTGCACTGGTTCTCTGCCTCCACTCTTGGCTCGCACAAACTTATGCAGATATTCTGCGAAGAATTCGGCGTTCGCATAGAAGTAAGATCTACTCGATAGTTTTCGATATAGCACTCTGAATCTTAGTTAAACACTAGCCTTATTAGTGTCTAATACAAGCTTAGTTTTTTTGTTCGTGAAAGGGATTTGATTATTATGTGTCTCTGTAATCTTAAATAGTCCCTATTGGAAGCCGTTATTCTTCGGTCAATTTCAGGTCTCATTTCGTTGTTGGAGTTTACCTGAATACCCAGATAAACAATTTCTTCATATCATTCGCAGGTAAACTCTCCTATCCGAATGCTTCCACCTGTCCTTGTTTCACCTCGTACAACCGCCTTCATATACTTGGTTTTAGTTTTGTCTATATTGAGACCAAGTCTTGCTGCATCTTTTTCAAGATCGAGGAAGGCACCTCTCATGGTTGAAAATGGTCTACCTATGATACCCAGGTCATCAGCAAAGCCCAGTATCTGCATTGATCTATTTGAAATAGCTTTCAATCGTTTATCTTCTTAAAATATTTTTCTATTACTCCTTCTCCGCAGAACTTTGTAAGATTTTATTTTTTACCGGCTGTGGTGACTTTTTTAGCAGAAAAAACTTTTAGGCACTTTAGTTCTGGTTTTCCATGCTTTACGTAGCTTTATTGAAAAGTTGGTATATGTTTGTTGATATATCACTATACAATTTTGGTAAATTCTTTACAAGTTTTAAAGACACCGTTATTTTCTAACAGGTAGTCCGGACTATCCAAGTGTTCTGATTTGTTCTCTTGCTCCCAATATTATTATTCTTAAAACTCAGTTAAGCTACGTCTAGGTTTAGATATTATTAGTTCAAATTTTGTAAGTGATAGTCCTTACAAATAAAATATAACTAACACCTTAATAATAACAACATGAATTTTTCCAAACATTTCTTGATACATTTTCGTACAGAGAAATCTGGTCAGTTTATCTCATAACATACGATTTCATTTATTCTCTGGATTATCTGTGATATAAAATTTATTATTTTTAATTAAAATGTATGTTTATTGTATTGACATTTAAAACTAACGCAATAAAAGGTATTTATTTAAACGATATTCTAGCGGACCTGCCAAATGGGCCAGATTAGGAGATTTGGACATCAGCTCTTCTCAAGACGATGCTCAACCAGTGGACAAGACCATTGTTCAGATAATCGCTTTCCCAAAATATTCAAACGCCCAAGTATACCACGACATAGCGCTCTTCAAGTTGGGCAGTGATGTTGTTTTTAATGGGTACATTTTACCCGTCTGCCTCCAAACTTCCAGAGAAATAAGAGCGGAAAAAGCCAATTTTACTGGCTGGGGAAGAACAGGATTTGGTAAGTCTACTTCTATTTATTTTGGATACGTAATTATTTTTGAAAACTTTTTGATTAAAGTTGTATATTTTCTATATAATAAAAAGTAGTTCGGTATCTTTGATTCCTTTTAGACAATATACTAACATGGAACCCACATACCAGACTTAAAAGACAAGAACTTAACCTACGATTTGGCCAGTTATATAGACTCTTGACAGAAAATCTAACCTCTCAATTGAAAACTAACTATTAATATACAAGAGCATACGGAAACCCAACTAAATGTTCGGACATCAAACGCATCCAATCCTTCCAGTCTAAAATAGTCCGTATGCTATTCAATGCTTCTTATTATGTTACGAACAAAATCTTACATTATGAACTTAACATCCCTTATGTCCTTGACGTTATTCCATCCCGATTCTCAAATTTTCATCGTAACCTAATCCATCATCTTAATAACTTAGCACAATCCTTATCCAGCTCCAGCCATCCCTACAAACCTCTTAGAAGGTTGAAACGCCAGTGACCTCGGAATCATTTGTACATACGTCGCTGAAGTCCTGGCAATGGCCAGCTCCTCCACTCAAATCTTGAGCGTATGTGGCTTTAATGTCCTCTCTTAATCTCCACTGGATTCCCATCCCAGTGATGCGGCTAAGAGAGAAACACTGGGATCTCTCGGAATCCACATTTGGGAGAAAGGGCCCGACTCAGAGCTCCCTTGGCTGACTGTAAATAAGTATGAATGTTTTTATTTATTTTTTTATTTAATGTTGCCTCATGTTTGATTTATTCTGAGTTTTCTTTTGTTATAATTTTTTTATAGTTTTTGTTTTATAGTAAATAAGGTGTGATTGTGTTTCATAAATCTCAAATACTCAATGCTCTCAATTGAGCCAAAATGTATATTTTTCTCAATAAAATAAGTTTAAAAAAAAAAAAAGTATTTCTAATCGGTTTGTTAATTAATAATGTTTCACATGCCCATTAACATTACACACAGCTGAAGCTACCAGCGATAAACTCCTAGAAGCCGAAATAGACATCTACAATGAAACGGAATGCAGGAGGCTTATGTTCAGCACGAACAGCCCCAAGACGCCACTAGGGCTCCAGCCTGACCTCATGATCTGCGCAGGAGTTCCTGATGGAAGCAAGGATGCCTGTACGGTGAGTTACAATATCCATACAGGTTATCTGATATCTTTTTTAAATTATGATTTAAGAACCTCAAATAACAAATATAATAGTATATCTATATAAAATAAATGTTTATTTCTTTTTAGGGTGATTCTGGTGGACCGTTGGTTACAGGAAACGCATTTAGTTGTATCAAGACTCAAATCGGGATAACTTCTTATGGAAATAAATGTGGACTTCCAGATTCTCCAGGAGTCTACACTAGAGTATCTAACTATGTGCCCTGGATAGAAGAAGTAGCTTTTAAAGATGTAACCGTTTGTGATTAAATAAATATTTATTTATTATCATCCTTCCCAGCTTTACTACAATGTTGAATTCGGAAGATGTAGCGTATCTGCCGATTCTTCTATTAATCCATTATTCTTAATTCTTAATTTCTTATACTTGCTTACTTAAATAATATGGGAAGATAAGACTGAGAAGTGGAATTGAAGCTAGTTAACAAATGATCAACCTTTTAAAAAATACCACTTTATTTTATTTATAATTTAACTGGTTTATTTAATTTTTAAGCCAAATATTCATGAAGTTATCTTGGGTAAATTACGATACTCACATAAAAAGAAATTTTTGTTTGAAAATACATTGCGCAGAATACAGACCATTTAAGTATGTTAAGTCACTGTTTGTTGTATTAAGTTTGTGATTGAAGTCACTGTATGAAACTTAATGATGAATGTTGAAGTTACTGTATGAATTATTTTAATTTATGAACAGCATCAGGCTCACTCGTACAAAGGACTTTAACCTACTCACATGACTCACAAAATTTAACAAACTGTTTTGGTGTTTGATCTTGTATGTGTAAAGAGTCTGAAAACCAATAATCCTAAATTGACATTGAGAAAATTTGACCTAAGATTCAGATCAACTACTATCAGATAAAGAGGAAAACAACTTCACGGCATCATACCATACGCGCTATTTGTCAGCAAACTGTTTCCTGTAGAACGAGTTTCTGAGATCTCATGGATTGACAAGAATCTGGAGGAAATTGCTAGATAGCTATCTTGCTTCCAAGGTAAACCTTAAAAGCCACATCTCCAGATATAAAGTAGGTAGGTTTTTGATTAGCTTTCAGGAATAACCCACTCGAAAATGAAGGCTTATAAGAAATTATAAGCTAGCACGTTTCAATTCTATTGGACGAAATTAATCTGTTGGTGATGCTGGAAATATTAGAGCGATATTAAGCTAACTAAAAGCTAATAAGCAGCTGTGAAAACTGATGAGACCTTTGTCAAAGCCTTAGTTGATTAGCTCTGAGGCTGAACAATCTGCTGATGTTATCAAGCTATTCAATAATCGACTCTTTGTCAGCCTTGGGGTCTGACCAAAACATGGCTTCAATATCCGGTTATTATAGCAAATTTAACTAGTTTTTTTGTTTTGTTTTTGGCTCAGTAATTTTGCACTATTACCTTCCTAATACTACTTTCTAACGAAAATATTGTGATCGGATAAAATTGTCAATGAGCACTTTTAAAATAATCAGAATCTACTAAGTCAATTTTCGGCCACTGTTCAGTTTATTTGTGTCACGGTTAACTCTTAGTAGGCCAGATAATTTAATTGTTTCCCTTTTACTTCCACTGCATCATAGTGTTGTCCAAAATCGGTCTTGTTCTTTCACTTTGCAAGACAAAGACCAGGACTAGTAAAAAAAAAATCTATTTTTTAAATAAAAAATAAGACAAAATAGTTACTAATACTCGACAATATTAGTACTATATGTTAATAATTGCTATAACCAATATATTTTTGCATTTAACTCCTCTAATTTTTCATTCAGGCTTAGTTAGGTTTCTCCAATCTAAAAAATTACAGTGATACCGCTACATTAATAAGCTAATAAGTAACTGCAAGACTAATGCGAGAGTCTCGCGCAAGACCAAGATTTATTTAGATCAAGACTGAGTTTGCGAGACCATGACTCGTCTCGGTCTCGCATTTGGGCAACACTACTGCTTCATCAAATGTTAAAAATAATAGTTTTTCAAATATTTTTCGGGTGGCGTCACCTCAATCGGATAATAAATATTATTATATAATAGTTTTTTTTGTTGTGATTTTCGGCTTACACACATGCTTTTTGATGCCATGTTAATCCCCTTCATTTTTGAAAACCGTGACGCATTAGACGGTTTAATTTACCTTTATTTTGAATATTTTATGTAGGTCTGATATAAAATATACTTTAGAATTTTATGTTAACATCAAATAACTGTTTAGTTTCCATTTATATTCCAATTATTTTTTTTAGTTTATGTTTTGTATGTACGTTCGGTAAATCAATAAATAAACTTTAGAACTTTCTAGTACTTTAGAAGATGAGTTCTAAAAATGTTTTCATGTTTTGAAAAAAAATTTAACCAAATTTAAATTAAAAACCTCATGTAACGTTAATTGAAATTTAAGTACTTTTCCAAAATCTTCAAGGCTCCTTACTGGTCACAAATAAAATCATAAATAATAACCTTAACTTTCCCAATTTGCCACAATCCAGATACCTATCCTTCCATAACAAACTTTAGTACCATCCGAACCCTCTCGTTTCAAACCTTGCTTCCTCCTCGATTCCTGATAACCCTCCGAGGCGTCTGAAAATAATGTTGCCACGTGATCTTCTTGTTTAAATTTATTATTGGAGTGCTAACAGTGGATAGTTTCTCAACAAGCGATTTCATGTTATAATATTCTTGATTGTGCCTTTACTAGATGTTTTTTTTTTTCTTTTTATAATATAGTTGTAAATATCAATGAATAAAAAAAATGTACGTTTCCACTGCTATATGAATAAATATGCCAACTTAGTTAGATAAACATTTTGCAATACATTTAAAATGCAGTGGTGAATTCGTCTTCGGAGTGTTTCATTTAATAATCTCAGAGGAAATATTAGGTTATTAGATAGATAGATAGATAGTGCAAATATGAGTAGATTTACAGCAAGGACACTTATGCAATTGATGCCTAAACCTTCGGAGATATCATATCAAATGTCAAATCATGTCAATTACCAGTTTATTTTTAGTAGGCTAGGTTTTTTTCTCAGCGAGATTATCTTATCACTTTTCTTTAAGAGATGTGTTTGAACTTTGAGTCATTTCTCTAGTTTGCCATTTCTTTTTTTAAAACTGGACAGAATTTATTTTTAGGTTTTTGATTAAATAAAAAACCTGATGACCTTAAAATCTAAGTGTCTATTACTGATGTAATATTTGCGGTTAGATTTTAATCAAGTTTTTCATGAATATCTTAAATGGTTCATTGGAAGGGAATTAAAATAAGATGAAAGATTAAATTAGTTGACAGTTAAATCCACTAGCAAAAATCCATTCTTTTTTTATTATTATTTCATTTAATGTTACTTTCTTTATTCTATACGGAGGTCGTTTAGTAATGCTTCTATTGTAAAAATGATATAATTATAATAATAAAACTTAATTCAAAAATATTTCGCTAAATATCTTGAATTTTCGATTTAAAGTTTGCAATTTAACAATTTATTTTCTATATATGTACTGATTCTTAGAGGTAAGTTAATTGTATATATTTTTCCGAAAATTAGTTATATTAATGCCTGTTTTATAAACTAAAATATATATTCTTGATAAAACTCATATATCTCTTGTAAAAGAAATAATTTTAGTTTTGTTTTTTTTATTATGGGCAAAATCCTAGAAAAACTTATCTTAAAACGCCTGTATCCCATCCTAGACTCTAAACACATTATTCCAGATCACCAATTTGGATTCCGCGCATCCTACTCCACTATTCAGCAGCATCGTGTGGTAGATACCCTCTGCATTGGAGCGCGGAATGTATTGCACGGGAGCTTTTCTCGACGTTGAACAGGCGTTTGATAGAGTCTGGAATCCGGAACTGATGTACCAACTCCGTAAATTCCTACCACTACATACTTCCTCATTATCAGTTCCTACCTTACTGACAGACACTTCAAAGTCAATCATAACAATGCTCATTCATCAATTTTTACTCAGTCTGCCGGTGTTCCTCAAGGTAGTATCCTAGGTCCTATCCTTTACACAGTTTATACAGCTGACACCCCAACCCAATCCAACACTGTCATCACCACCTATGCCGATGACACGTGTATCCTATCAGTTAATAATGATCCATCTATTGCATCCCAAACGCTTCAATCAAACATCACAAGTCTTGAAAAATGGTGTCAAAACTGGAGGATTAAAATAAATTCCAATAAATCCCGTCAAATAACCTTCACTCTTCGTCGTAAACCTATGACTTCCTGTCCTACAGTATACAGTATCCTTCAACAATAGCCCTCTTATCCCTGTCGAACAAATATGACAATAATAAGACCTATGTGGACTTACGAAATTGAGCTTTGGGGCTCCACTAAATCATCGAATTCCTCTCGTATCCAATCCTTACAATCTAAAATTATTCATAAAGTCCTCAACGCTCCTTACTTTGTCACAAATAAAATCATCCATAAAGATCTTAATGTTCCATATGTTTCCGATTTGGCCCAATCCAGATATCTATCCTTCCATAACAAACTGCAGAACCATCCGAATCCTCTCGTTTCAAACCTTGCTTCCTCCTCGATCGCTGATAATAGTCCGAGGCGTCTGAAAAGAAGATGGCCTCGGGACCTTCTAATATAGAACTTTAATTTGAGTTCTACCAATGGGTAGTTTCTCTTCAAGTTGTAAATTTCATGTTACCAATGTCACATTTACTTATTGTATTTTCCATGTAATACAGTTGTAAATCTCAATAAAATAAAATTAAAAAAAAGAAGTTTTTTTTTTCAATTATTTTGTTCGAAGTTTTAGCCATACATGAAAAAAATATGAAATTTTTATATTGAATGAGAATTTATATTTATTCTCTCTGCACAAAGAAAAGCGAAGACTTTGAGTTCTTCTTGGTTAACCGGAACTAATTGTTAGTATTTGGTATCAAAATGAGTGCAAACACGAAATTGAACCCAACAATTGGAAAAATACATTAAGCGAACGAGGAAGGAATTGTCAAAATCTCGTAAAAGAGAACAAGGATCAGTATCCATTATATGGCTAAAATAATATATAGTACACTGATGAACAGAATATTTCAAGGAGCTGTTAAGAGAAAGTCAAATGCTGGAGTAGTTCGGATGATATTAAGGGGACGATGGAGTTCTTTATGGTGAAGACCATTCTATTTTCCATTGCTACTTAAGTTGCACATTGAGACTTCACTTTGAAGAAGGTTATATAGAGGTCCATCGAGAAAGGGAAGTAGCTCTCATTCTAGTAGC